CTGATGCATCCTTCCACGTTAGCTTTTTTTTTTTTAAACTATTTGAAAATCATACTTTGTAATCATTCTGAACCTTCTCAACTTTTGAACTTTTTCTAATTGACTTTTGTAAAAAAAGAATGCAACAAATGCCCAAGACACACTTATTTGCACCTGTGTTTCCAAATAAATATTTTCTTTTGAACAGATTCTCAACCAGAGCCTTGAAGGCCCTTATAGAATGCATTCCATTCTTTTCCTTGCCAGAGTAGATGTGTAAGATGGACCCCTTTCTTTCTACGCTGCTTCTGATTAGCCGTAACAGTGACTTTTTTTCATTTTTAGTTGTATTGAATGGCCACCTTTTGGCTCTTCCTTGCTCCACATCCTTTAGTCATTTACACCAAACTTCCCACTGGGAGTCCATCTCTGCTTCTGGTGGTTGGTGATTAACTCTTCTGAAAAATGTAGAACCACCGGTGCTGCCACTAATAAGCATGTCCCTTTCCCCACCATCGCATTCAATACTTAGCCCCATGAAATTGTAAGATAACTGGGATACCACTCATGAAGTCCCACAAATATTTATTGAGTTCATTCTTTTGACTGTCATTAGGGAGAGTGAAAATATCATCTCAGGCACTGGCTGCTTTCCAGCCAATTCATCTGAATTCTTGCACCATTCCTTCTCTTGGAGGGAGCTGTGTATGTCACACTTCTTATCTACAACCTTAAAGGAGGAATACTCTACTCCATTGCCAGGGTTGACGTCCACTGCCAGTCCAGCTGGCTTCTAGTATAGAGCAGCCTTCTGGCCCTCTGCTTCAGACGACAAAATGTCTTTGGCTAAGAAGGGATTTTGACTCTCTTGTAAATCTGCCACCCAGCTAAGTGACAGCACCTTAGTTGCTGATGAGCTCTGATTAGGACTTGGTGGAGGACCACCTGGGAATTCCAGAAGTGAGGGGTAAAGTGAGAAGAAGAACAAATCCCCAAATCAAGCCATGGCAAGCCACTTCTGAAAGGCTGCCAAGACATGTCTCTGAGGTCAGCAGAAAAGGAACTAAGTTTGACTTGGAAGAGTCTTTGTTCCCGTCTCACCGAAAGTTCAGTTCTCTTAAAAAGAGGGGGGTGGGGTGGGGGGAAGATGGCTGTGACCAGCATAATCCAGTAGATGGCACTAAGTTACTTTCAATCTGGAATGTTTTCCTTGACCATCTACTTCAGGACTGCCAGTCATCTGCTTGTAGGGAGGTAGCTATGGCGCACAGCTCCTTGGCTGCAAATTGTGTCCAAACATACAGCATCTTAAGAGTGGGAAGTGACCTTGAAGCTCATCTTCTCCAACCCCTTCCTTGATGTAGGAAATCATGAAGTATCCTCAAGAAATGGCTTTCAGGCCCCACTTGAAATCCTCCTGATGAGGATGAACCCATCATCCTTCTGGATGACCATTACCGATTTGTTCTTCTGCTGTAGTATTTTTTCTAATGTGCAACCCACAAGTGTGAGCACTGGTAAAGATCCTGCATTGAGTTTTGAGAACAGCCCTTGGGAGAACCAGGTTCATGTCTCCACTCAATCATGAAGCTTACGGGCCAATCACTACTTCTTTGCTCAGTCAACATCACAAGGTCATTGTGAGGATAAAACTGGAACGGGAATGCTCTGTTTATTGTCTTAAAGTTGTGGAGAAAAACTTAACTGCAATCAACCAATCAGCCTATTCCATCTAGTTCTGCCCTTCTATGGCAGCTTGGAAAATTTTCCTCTATCCTCCTTGTCTTCTCAGGCAAAATATTCCCATGTATTCAAACTTTGCTTTCCTAGGACTTGTTTTCTGTGCTACTGTCCTGTGCCAATACTTCATTGTTGGCACCAGCACTGCTTTTAGTACCAAGCCACATGTTCCATCTAATTACCTTCCTCGGTACTTTAGAACAGATAGTAGCAGCCAAAACATACCTTACTTAAATTTGCCAGCAGAAATGGTTTAGGTTCTTTAAGGTTGCTGGCTGATGCCATGAAAGCGCCTCGGTGTGTTTTGAATCTTCTCCCGAGTCCAGACCCCTTCTGCAGAAGCCCTCATAGGCAACACTGAGAGATTACTGTAGTTTCACAGTCATAAACTCATAGGTCTGCAAGTCACCCCCTAGCACTTCCAAAAGCTGCCACTGCATTGTGACCTTAGTGTGATCCAAGAGGACAATCATTACATGCATGAGCAGTTAATGGTTGCAGGTTGCAGGTTCCTAAGCACAAATGCACATCCCACTGGATGACCAATTCATGAAGCGGACTCAACAGCTGTAACTTTTGATGAGCATCTAATCCAATGAGAGGTGGGGTTTCCTCAGGGTACCACCTCTGAAGGAATCTATCTGCAGCGACTGTAGGCTAAAGGCTTCTCAGTGACGCCCACCTCCTCTGGAACTTACTCCAAATATTCAGACCATCTTCTCCTTACCATGTTTTCAGAGCCATAAAACGCGTCTTTTGAGAAACGCGCTGGGGCAGCGTGATCTTGCTTGTGCCCCAAACTGTGGTGCCCCAAACCGATTAACTGATTTTTGTTCTTGACCTTCTGTCCTTAATATGGCAAGTTGCTCAGAAATGGAGTGGCAAAGGAATTGCAGAAGTAAATAAATATATATTTTACACCATCAGCTCCCCAAAACAAGAACACAGATTGAACCACCAACAACCAAAAGCAGCCCCCTCTGGGGATATCAAGGGGGAGGTACCCCATATTTCGGTAAGCAAATGACTGCCAGACAGACTGGAGGTGGTATGTTGGGACTTTAAAATTTATTCCAACATGCTGTTTTTTAAAAAATAGGCTCAGACTGATTAGACAGCCCAAACTGTAGTAAAGGCAATATACGTGTAAAAACTTCTTTCATTCACAGTACAGATGTCATTTACAATAAGGGTCACAAACATCAAATGCTGAGTAATTTCTCTCTTTTTTTAAACATTATATTCTGTGCTTTTTACCTGCATTTTTTTGCACTCTTATTACCATACAGACATTGCAAGATGCAAATGTAGAAACTGAAATAAAAATTACAGGCAAAACTACCAAATTACACTGTACTCTGAGTCTGTACATATTTACAGTACCTTTTTGGAATGTATTGCCATTTTTAAGAACATATAGAAACTTTCTAAAGACTATTCCACTTACAGAATACATACACCTTTTAGAAAAAAAGGCAAATATTTATCTTACATGAGACCATGTATATTAAATTTGCGTACACATCATCAATATTATTAATATTTTACATTACATTTACTAAAGTGAGCATAAGTGCCATAATATTCAAGACTGAAAACTTATTTTATGTCATCATTAGGACCCAAATTTGGTATTTTCTAAAAAAATATTTTACCTTTTAATTCACAAATACTGTGCAATAACAGGACGTAACAAAAAAAAAGTTCATAAAGAATACACACAAAATCAAGTTTGGAAAAATTAAAAGGAGGGAAAGTATTGAAATAGACACAGTAGAAGGGCTAGATCACAATGCTTAACACTTAGCTCAGAAATGGTGTAACAGCTTCAAAACACTATATATTTAGTGCCTCTTAAAAATCAGTCCCAATGACTTGGCATTGTTTTTTGTAAAAAAATGTGACTTAAGTAGAGATACTCAGGTGCTAGAATATAGAACTTTTTCACTAAGAAACAATCAATGAGTTAAATAGAATTGCTCTGTTTGAACCGAACATAAAACCACAGTTCAGCACGAGGCTCATAGTTCCGGATCTCCCCCCATGCAGTTGTAAAGAGTTTATTGCTTTAAGCGCACTGCAGTTTTCCATGCTGTCCAAATCTAACAAAATTATGGTTAATTTTAAGTTATGCTTTACTCAAAATGAGCCAATATGAGACCAGGGTTTATGAAGGTTTGTTTCAGCAAACCCTAGTTAAGATTAACCATAGGAGAAGGCCTGGGTGCAATACCAAACACCGGCTAATCTGAAACCAGAAGTTTCGGAACTCCTTCTTAGGACCGCATTGGAAGAGAATGAGGATAGGGCACACAAGTCCACAATGCACTGACTGGGTTCACACATGATGCTAAGTGCCACAATTTATAAACCACAGTATCTTGATTCACATGCGATGCTAAGCCAAACTCGAACAAGCCACATTATGGTTTAGCATGACACATGAAACTGCCCCTTGTGTTTTGTTCCTTCCAGGCTAAACTAGGACACCCAGATATAGTCCAAATCATTAGGGAGTGGGAAAACCTCAGCATCAGGTTACTAGAAGCAAAAGCTATGGTAGTCCTATGGATTTCATCATGATTTGGTCACCACTCCTGGTATGCTAAGGTTTTCTACAGGCTCTAGGCCAGTCAAATATCTTTCATCTACATCTAGTGAGAAACTGCAATCATTCTGACTTGTACAACTATATCGTGGGGACATAATCAATGGGGGGGGGATGTCATAATGATTCGGTGACTTTTACCAGTGAGGCAATAAACTCTCAGCTTGGACCACTGTTTTCCCTCCGACTGTTTGGTATTTTCATGGAAGGCAACCTGAAAGGGAGATCCATGCTACCACGGATTGGTTTCCTGTACTTCCGGAACACAAATCGTAGCTCTAAATATGAATCGTTGTTACAACAAAACCTGGTTTGGTGTTTCATGTTTCACCCAGACTAATACATCATATGACATCAATTTCAATTAACTTAGAGGGCAAACCACTTTCGAAAGACCAACCTTTAATGAGCAGATAGTATATCAAAGGGCTTAAATAGTCTTTCAGAGATGACACAACCCTAGTAATAAATCACTTTGACAACAAAAAGCTTTCCACTCCCTTTGAAGTCATCAGCTGTTTGGGGGGAGGACCTTTTGGCCTGCAAATGGAAAAAAGCAGGAGGGGCTTACCAAAATACCAATGGAAGTGCTCATAAACTAAAACACGGGTCTCATCCTTCCATCCGGATGAAGCCCAGTAATCAACTATAAAGGTTTTTGCAAAGTTTTGCAAATGATTCTGCCTTCTTTTTAAACTAAAAGCTGGGGGAGGGGGGTATTTAGAAACAACCCACAGAATCTGCAGCTCAATTACATAGATTAGGGGTGCACAAAAGTATCAATTCAAATCATTTCAAATTCAAAATAACCCCAGGTTAAAATGGCCTGCCTCCAGTGTGGAGCAGCTGTCTCGAGCATAAAACTGGGCTGTTTTTGAGCATTTTGAATTCAAAATATTCCCAGAATATTCAGAACAGCCCACTTCAAGTTCACGCCAGTTCGGATCGAAACGTTTTGTTGACCAATCATTTGCATGCTTACTCTGAAATAAATGGCATTATACTCAGAGATATTTACTCCAAAGTAAAACTTAGGATACATGGGGGGAAAATTACCTCTAAAAAGACACTGTTAATAGCAATGAGACTCTGTTCAGTTTTCGTAGTCTGAGATCATGGGGGCCACCTAATGTCTGTCTCCTAGCTTTCCTTATAGCACCACAATGTTGTGATTGACCCGGTCCTTGACTTTTAATGGGGCAATTTTAAGTGCTTCCAGTTAAGCACCTGCTTAAGGCTTTGCTAGGTCTGCCTAGAGTGCTCAGCACCATACAATTTGAGCCCTTAGTGTGTTAAGTAGCTTGCCGAGAGGAAAGCAACTCCATCTGGTCAACCAATGTTCTTGGTTGGCCAACAAGAAATGCCCCAGAGACCCAGGAGATGAGATGGCTGGCAAAAAAATGAGTGATGGGAGAGGACTGCTCCCATTTATTTTTCTTGCATCACAAACTCAAAGCTTTTTCACACACACGTTTTCAGTTGGTCTCTGATTAAATATTAGGAAAACGAGAACTCCACTAGCAGACAAGTCAATCTGAGATCTGCTTCAGTGTTTATAACAGACACTCTTTATGCAATAGAAGGCTCGTGTCTTATCAAACAAGCTAGAGGTCACAACTTGGGGGCCTTTCAATGTTTAGGATTACATGTCCTACAGTCCCCTGCTACTGGCCTTGCCATCTAGAGCCAATGGGAGCTGAAGCCCAAAGCAACTGGATGATGCCAAATATAAACTATGCCATGCTAAGGGCAAAGAGTGGCTGCTGGCAGGTGTGCTGGTACAAATATCCAGGATCTAGGCAAACATTAGATCTCAATCAGGAAATGAAAAGGAGGAATTCAAGTAGAGCCCTCTAAAATGTGAGGAGATATCACAAAAAGTTACAATGCATTGCATAGTATGTTGGGTCTTCTGCCATTCAGCCTATACTAGGAGCATTGTGGTCCCGATAAGAGATCTCAGGGTCCCCCTCCCCAAAATAAAGTACCCTTACAGGCAACATTCTGACATATGCAGTGATAACACCAAGCCACCTTACAGTGGACAAAAATTTACTTCCATCTGCAGAGCACTGAAGGAAGACAGAACGGTATCAAAACAAAAAGTAAACATATCCTAATTATTAGTATTAGCTCTGGGAACATAGATTCCACCACAAATCATTGAATCCATGCAATGGAAAAGAAATGTGACTTCCATTGCATCTAAATGAGGAGTAGTTAAAGGAAAACAGGCAAAATCTGGGAAAACAGAAAACCCTGAGCATTATGTTGCATTTGATCTAGCCCCCAAATGAAACCAGGCACAGTTAAAGCATGAATGGATAAAAGACATGAGAGTGTCCAATCATGGCTCATGTACAGTTTCAATACTGAAAACCATTTGGTCCATAAAGAGCTGCATGGAAAGCTGGCTGGGAAAGAGGAAGGAAAAGAAACCACCCAGGAATTCAAAGCCTCAGTGGAGATGAAATACTGGTGTCCAGCAATTGCCACAGAGATGATGATCCAAGGATTGCTCCTTCAGTGCTGGACGGGTGGAGGGGGGGAGTCCTCTGAAGTCAATACAAGGTAGTGCTGATTTCTGTTGGTGCAATCTATTCTATTTAATCCAGTAGTAGATGTTTGTACCCCATGATCTGCCACAGGAGAAAATTGAATCAGACCTCCTCCAAGGTCTTGCTATAGATGCTGGATTCCAGTGCAAACACAACAGCACCGTCATGCTGGACCTCAGCCCTGAAAGAGGTATCGGAAGCAGAAGTAAACAAAGGAAAAATGTCGAAGACCGCTCATGGAGTTTTCCAGTGAACTCTGCAATTCCAGGGTTGGTTTGGTTGCTTTCACAATGTCAATGTTACCTTGACTAAATGCACACAAGACCGCCAAACAAAAAGGCCCGACATCCTGTTTTCTTAAATTCCTCAATACAATACATAAAATGATACATCTCAGAAGATTATTTAACCCATTCTGTGTTCTTCACTTATGCAAAACCCAACAGTCTATGGCTTTATCAAGCCAGCTTAGTAAAATAAACTCATTCAGGATTTTTCTTTCCCCCCTTTTTCCTGTTTTGGGGGAAGTGAGAGAGCATGCACAGAGTAAATTCAGAACATCTTAAGACAGCTCAGGACTGGTCCACTGGATAAATATTTGTGGATCTGTTGTGGGGGTGGGGGGAGGGGGCTGGCTTCATTTGGAAAAGCATTTGTACAGACTCCATACAGACTCTTCAAATAAATGCTGAGCACTCTCTCTTATCAGAGTAAACACTTCTTTTTAACAGTTGCACTTTTAAAATGGTATGAACAAGGCAGAGTTGCATGATTCTGGCATGATTTCTGTGTATGTGGCACCAACTGGTTAGCAGTTGGGTGGGCACGTCTTAAAACTGTACTCTAAAAGAAAAATAAAATAGTGGCTAAATGTTCACCACTGCATCACCTAGATGTGAAACCTGGCCCTCTACATGATCAAATGGTTGCATTTATTCAAATAGTTGGGAGAGGGAAGGATAAACTATGCAAAAACCAAACTAAAAGGCTTAAATATTCCTGCTTTCTTCATTGAGTCTGAATATTTTCCCACATATGAGGTCTTAAAAGTAGTGCTGTTTTCAGTTCTTATAGTCTCCCATCCAGCATGACCATGCTGGTTTGAGACTATAGAGGTTGAAATCCAACCTGTTTGGAGGGCATCAAGTTTGGGAAGTTGAGCAACCCCATCTTTCAGAGGGAGGTGATCTAATTGAGACGAACATATCATGAAATCATTAATATAAATATGACTGGGGCAGATGCAAGCACAAACATGTGCTTAGCTTGGATTGGTGGGAAGACCCTTGCTAATGGCTTGCACCACACTAAAGTCCTGGTTCAACACCCATGATGGGTCTCTTAGAGCTTGCTCACTCACATGTGGACTGTGCAGAAGATAGCTCCAAAGGAATCTCTTGCAAGTAAGAAACCAATGATCTCTTTTGTTCCCTGCACTAGTTTCCAAAAGTGGAATCGGGTGAGATCTGGATTTTTTTATTTTTTTTTTGGTATAAGAAATTTGGGATACATTTTTAAAATGTAGGGACATATTTCCAAATCTGAAGTTATGTATCTCATATTTCAGAGCTCGCTTTCTAACTGCAAAATCCCAGGAGCAGGAAAAAACAACAACAAGATTCTCAACTAAGTCTCAGCCAACGTTTACCAGCCAACTTTCATGGCTGGTAAAAAGCACCCTTTAGGGTTGTGTGCACATGGATTTAAGCAGCAGCGACATGGAATGTCAGCATTAAAGCAAGAATGGCTGCCAGAAAGAACAGATCTACACCATTCTCAGAACATATTTTTTTACATTCAATATATTTCCATTTCCTTCCGATTTATTTTTTTCTTCAAGGGGATAACCCTTCATATGTCTGTGTGTCCCTTTTTAAAAAGTGCTTTTGTGGGTTGTATTTAGGGAGGTACATGCTGAGATCTCCAATTCCCCCCTTTTTAGGGGAGGGAGGGAGTGATCTTTCATTGCCATCAAGACCTCCCCAAAGTAAGTGCTAATTTCTTCAACAATTCAAGGGTAAACACTTTTTTTCCCCCCAAATCAGAACAGTCACAGCTGTCCTTAAAGCACATTTACAGGCAATCAGAATAATGCAAATAATAAAAAAGAACCATTATAAAATAACAAGCACTTCACCACATATTAAATAAAGCAAGTAATAAATAGGGGTGGGGAATTATAACTTTCTGTACAGGGGAGCAGATTTCTTTTTTTCTAATCAGTATCTCTGAAGAGGTGTCAATTTTCCTAGACGTTTTCAGTGCATCCTCTGGAAAAGATTCTTGACTCTTTCCTGTCTGCATTTATCGGAGCCCATTGGAACAGACACTGCAATGGTGATGGAGGGACATGATCTGATTAACTCCTTTTCATGACTGTAAAACATTTGTAGCTTCAGTTTTGTATGTGTGTGTATGTCAAGCAACCAAAGCAGAAAAGGGCATTGACAAAGGCACAAGTAAATGTGAAAGTAAAATGAAGGGAGGGAGGGAGGGAGGATGACTTTTCTACACCAGAGAGACCTTCCTTCAGCAGTGATTATTCTGAAGCCAACAGCACTGATCAAGGTCTGTTGTAACATCTGAGAAGTCGCTGACAAGACAGAGCAAGGGCTTAAGTATTTCCTGTACTGTTCTCCACTCGCCTTTGAGCTAGGCCAAAGCCCACAGCATGTTCCAAGGATGGACTTCTTCTCCTATATGCCCCTGCTTGCGGGGCTGGCTCTCCTGACAGGTTCCTTCTCCTGGTGGAGAGCTGCTGGGTGGGTTGGCCAGATGAGTGCTCCAACAAGCAGCCCGTGCTGCTGCTCCTGTCCAGTGACTGTGTGGGGACGCTTGAAATAAAAGTGCAGGTGGATTTGAAAGTAGTGCATAAGCCGCCACCGTATTTCTTCCCCTCCTTGGTGAAGGGTCCATCTCCATGAGCCAAAGGCTTTGGAGAACACTCCCCCTTTGGGCAAGAACTAATCTCGGTGGCTGTACAGCTGTCCTGCTCTGAACTACACTTTTTTACCCTGTATCCCTCCTTGGACTTTATTTGCTGACGCTCACTAGTCCTTGTTTTCTCTTCCATGCAGATGTTGCTTTGAAGTGGTGAGGTTGCTGATGAAGAAGGAGGTTCGTGTCTGTCTGGAGTTTCTTTGCCCCTTGCTTTCATCTGGCTGAATTCAGAAGTGCTTCCACCATGTTCGAAGTAGCTGGCCTGCAGTGACATCACTGATCCATGCCCCAAGCTGGGATGGCTGCTGGGCCTTGCCTGGACCATTTGTATGCCCCCAATTGGGATCATAGGGCAAGGGCTCCTGGGTAACTGCTGGGAGTGCAAGGGGAGATGACTAAAAATATAGTCTTCCACTCGATTTGGAGCATGAATGGGTACTTCATGGAGCGACTGCAAAGGTCTGAAATAGAGATGTTGAATGATGCCTGGTGAAATTGTTGGGCTCCTGGATTCTGTCTTCTGTAATGACAAGAGGTATATATAAAGTCAACTCTTAAGTTTGGAGTATACAGATGTGGACACAAAATACTGACTTAATTTAATAGGGAGCTCTTAATTTAGAAAAAAAAGATGACTCAAAGATGACAAAGTAAAAGAACTCCATTTTCCATTGTATCTGGTTATCCTTCTCTCTTTCTGTCCTTTGTGTTAAAACAAAAATAAAACAGAATTCAGACCCCAAAAGAACACATCATGAAAATGACAGTTCTGATCTTAAGCTGGACACAATCCATTTCCAAGTTCCTGACCCACCACTTGAAGAGCAAGGATGTAGAACAGGGATGGGCAATATATGGGTCTTCAGATGTTGCTGACCTTTAAGTCCCATCAACCCTAGCCAGCATAGCCAGTGATGTGGGATGATAGGAGTTGCAGTGAAAAAACATCTGGAGGACCAGATCTCACCCATCTCTGAGCAGAGCTTACCAGTTTAGGGTCTTCATGCAGCTCCTTATTTTTATCAAGGGACCTGTGAGGTAGAGGCACTGAAGATGATATTCCATGCTGAGTTTTACATAAACTTTGCATTTTTTCATCTGCTGTCACTTGGCTATGAGAAGGTAAATCCTCTCTTCCTGGGGATGGATACTGTGAAGGTGGCTCTGAATAGCTCTGAGACAGCATTTTCTTCAGAGATAAGTATCTAGATGATGACATTTCCCTGTTTGGAGAGACACATCTCACCGGAGAAACCCCTCTTGCTGGCGGAAGGTATAATGGTGACGAGAGCTCTCTTTTTGAAGAAAGGTACCTGCTTGGTGAGATCTCAAGTCTTGGTGATGAATTACAGAGGACCAATGACTCTCTCCTCAGAGTCTGGTGACTGGAGGGTGTTTCTCCAGTATATGACAATCTTTTTGGTGAAGTTTCATTTTTGGTTAACAGATGCTTTCGAGCCAACGATGACCGGTTGTTTCCACCACTGCTAGCCCCAGAGTCCTTGCTTGGGGAACACTTCCTTCTAGGAGTGATATCTTTGGAGATTGACAAATCCATTGCTAAGAGCATCTGTGGTCTTCTAACAGATTCCTTCTCAGCTGAAGTTGAGAGTGCACTAGAGGACAGAGCTGGTCGATGAAGTCTTAACAAGCTGTGGCAGACAGCAACTTCACTGCTGTCAGCTGACCATTTCATTTCGGGCTCTAAGGAGGCCATCTGGTGACACCGAACAGCACTCTCACTGCCAGAGGGAACGTCTTCCACTATGGACAAGGTTGTCCTGGTGCCTTTCTCCTGGGAAGAGAGAGAACTTTTTGGAGAGTGCCCTGGAAGAGAAGCGTTCTTCATTTCAGAAGGCTTTCCAAGTGACTCCTCTTGGTTTTCCTCTTCCTCCTCCTCTTCTTCTTCCTCCTCATCCTCTTCTTCTTCATTGTCATCATCATCATCAGACTCTTCCAAGTCTGAAAACTGGTGTCCAGGTAACTCAGATCCCTCCTGTCCTTCTGAATCTTGGAAGAGATCTTCAGTAGTTCCTAAAAGATGGGAGCAGAGCAATTTATCAGACAAGGATACATAATACATACACAAATACAGATACATACGTACAAATATCAGAACAACCAACTCCTGGGATATAATAGGAGGTGAACTCCACTGTGCTCTGCATTAATGAGGAAGCATACTTCCAAGGGAATTAGAAATGTAAATTCCCATTAAAAATGCAGGTCCACCCCAGACTGTTTTCAGCAAGATCTGAACCAAAACAGGACTGGGATACTGCTTCTGCCACTGATACAGACTGTGCCTACCAAGGGACATTGTGATTATGGAATTTCTCCATCTTCCCTTTCCCATTCATGCTGGATGGAAGCAGAGAAAATAAGTATGTCTGGGGATCACTCAAGAAGGATCAAATGAGGCCTTGGATCTACAGGATACAAAGCTTCCTACTCCCTGGAATATCCTGGACAAGTGAGATAAAATTTTATTTATCTATTCAATCAATCAATCAATCAATCAATTTGTAGACTAAGACAAACAATTGGCAGTTCACAACAAAGGACAACTAAAGACAATTAAAACATTCACGGTAAGAAACCAATTCAGTAAAACATTTATCAACAAACATTCAATGGGTTGCCTCAATTCCCATAAGCTCTCTGAAACAGTTCAATAGATTCTGGAAAACTAATAATTTGGGGTATGTTCCCCAATGGAAAGCTCTTCTAAAATACAGTCATACTCACTGAAAAGCAGTGCCTGCAATTCTCACCAACTCTGCAAAAATGGGGAACCAACAGCAGTTTCTTCTGGGATGCTTAAATCAGGTCAATTCTGGTTGGAGGAAGTGGTCCTCAAAGTGCATCAGTGCCAAAACACAGAAGTCTTTAAAATCAACACCTGAGTTGCATCCAGAAGCCAACAGGTAACTGTATGGGGCACAGAGCATCAGAGTAATGTGTTCCTGGCAACCAATCTAATGTGCTCCTGGCAACAATCAGGCTGCTGCATTCTGGGCCAACTTTAACTTCCAAGTGGTCTTCAAAGGCAGCCTCATGTACAGCATACTGTAGTTTGAGCAGATACTGATGAGGAAACAAGATCCTTAAGCTCCAGGAAGGGCCACATGCTATCCAAGATGAAGCTGAGCAATGACCCTCCTGGCCACAGTCTTCACCTGACCAGTTATGAGTCTAGAAAAACTGTGAAGTTATGGATCTGCTCCTTCAGGTGTAGTGCCACCTTATCAAGAGACAATACCGGAGCAGACAAAGAACCCTGATGAGCAGACAGCAACTCTGTCTTGCTTGGGTTCAACTTTAGTCTGTTAGGTCCCATCCAGACCCTAACAGCCTCCAGACACTGGGATCAGGCATCAACAGCATCCCCTGCAAGGCCTGGAATAGGAATGTACAGTTGGGTATCATCAGCATGCTGATGATCCTATACTGCAACTGAGAGATGACCTTCCTCAGAAACTTCATGTAAATGTTTAAAAGGGGAAATGAACAACGCTAGAGGCACCCAAGAAAGCAATAATCATCCCCGTTCCTGCAACCACCATCTGGATCTGGCCACTAAGGAAAGAGAAAATATTGCAAAACAGTGCTTCTAATACTCAGCCCTTGCAGGCAATCCAGAATAATTCCCTGACTTTCTGGTACTGAAGACTGCAAAGAGATCTGAAAGAACCAGAAGGCGTACAATACCTCCATCCAAGTCCTGATGAAGGTTATCCACAAGAGTGGCCACTGCCATCTCCATCCCATAATCTAGCCTGAATCCTAACTGAAAGGGGAAGTTTAGAGACTGGACAATAATTGTGCAGAACCAAAGGAGGGCGTTTTAAAGAGCACAGTGCAGCCTCTTTCAAAGAATTTGAATTTGACAATTTCCTGGATCCAGCTCTTTGAACTCACTCCTGCCCATGAAGGAGCCTGGAGGGAAATGTATCAAGCCCACAGCTCGCCAAGGACATGCAGACAGCGTCCTACTACACCAGCAGGATCCCACCTTTGACCCAACCTAACATTCTATAGTGAGAAAAGAGGATGGCCTTGAAGGACAGAGGGAAGAACTGCTATCAAGGCAATGATTGGGTAAATAAGACCTGAGCCCAACCCCAAAAAAGTGGTTTATGAAAACACCTCAGTCAGCACCCTCCTCCCCGCTCTTAATTCTCATGAAGATAAAAGAGAGAGGAAGGGAAGCACATTCAGACCTGCAAGATTCTATTACTGTAGCTGCTCTAATAAATGTAGCTTTAGGTCTGCATGGTGTCTGTTTCTTAATCTGGTCCTCCTTATAGGGCTGACACATTCACACCCTATCACCTAGTAGTGTTGCCTAGTCACAGACATGGTGTCTTTCAAGATCAACTTAACATTCCCCTTTGGCCTTGACACTGAGGCTCCTGAAGGACACAAAACCCAGGATGACAGAACTCGGAAGGGTAACCCCTCCACCTTAGTCCAACCAGATTTCAGTAATATACACCAGATTCACTTAATAATCTATATAATGCCACGGATGAACAAGATCTTATTACAAATAACACCAACACAGGCTATCCCACTAATTTTCCTCCAATCATACCAGGCGAAGCCCACAATTTGGCAAAATCACTCATGCTGGCCCATCTTCCTTCAAACCATCCTTTAAACTATTCAACCTCTCTCCAATATCATCTAATTCCTACAATCCATCCAAAAGGTCCTCATAGTAGAAGGTGCCCTCCCACTAGTGCTCTCAATCCAAAGACCCCTAACATGGACCTGTTCTCTCATTCCAGGTTTGAGCCAACATCCCACTACTTTCTTCCTTGCCCAGGACAGTTAAGCCAGAAAATTGCACCGAACATCAAAAGAGATTTGGAATTACATTGAAATGACCTCTAACTGGGGGCTCCCATGTCACCAAGCCTCCCCAGCCTAACATGTTCAGAGCTGTCATTCTCCAAGTCATTGCCACTGCTACCCATTCTGTGTTAAGCACCATAGCATAATAGGCTTATCTCCCAGCACACTCCAGCAAACATAAGCCTCGCAAGACCAACCCACAAAAATCTATCTGTTTTCACCATTCATGGCACATCTATTTTTGTTCCACCAGTTCTACCAACTTATGTTTTTCTGTCACAGCCTCATGTTATGAATAGCTTCCTTCCTGAGGCCAGTGGAGGCTTTTATGCTTTTTACTATATACAGTGACGTTATTTACAGCAGGTATTTACAACCGGTATATACAACACAGTACCGATGTTCACCCAGTGTCAGGTTTCCTCCTAAATCTCCCTCCCAGAAACTATCCACCACTATCTCTCCTGCTCCCCCCCCCCCCCTTTTCCCCATCTCCCTTCCCTGTTTCTGGACTTGACAAGAGAGAGAGTGAAAAGAAAGGAATGGGCTGGAATTTACTGCAGCGTGCTCAGTGTGGCTTGACCCTCTCCTGGAACCCCTCAGCCAAGCACCTACTGCTTCTCCATTGGGGGAAGAGCTTCTCTCAGGGTCTTCTACCTGTCCTTCCCCAGAGATCAGGGCTTCTCCACCGACAGCTGATCCCGTCTTCCCCCTCTTGGGTCTTGAGTGAAGCCATCACCTGCAGCCAGCCAGGTCCCTCCTTCCCGTTCTTGGGCCTTGGGTGAAGCTCTTGTCCCTCTGGGTCTTCACTTCCCTTCTTCCAGGGAAGCCACCCATGGGCCTTTCTTCTCCCTTCCTGATCAGGAACCGACAACTACTCTGCACACTTAAGTTCTCTCCCCAACTCTTCTCTCCAGCCACTCCATTCACTCTGCGCATTTTTCTCTCCTCTCCTTCTCACCTCCCCTTTTCTCTCTCTCCAATTTTTAGGTTAGACTGGCAGCATGTCCCCCAGCAACTAAGGAGGTGGGTGTCCCCCCAGGGTGCTAGTCCCCAACACTTCTACACCAGGCTGGACCAATGGGACTGTGGTCTCAAAATCTCTCCACTCCAGCCTGGCTAGCAGGCAGGTCACCTCATCAGGCCTCAGGAGAGCACAGCTGCCCTTCAAGGCCAGAACTGAGCTGTTTCCCCCCCTTCTACTCACTCCATGGGCTGGCTCACACCAGCACAACAGCAGCTAGCCAGACACCAGAGTTCCTGTGCCACTCTCTCCCAACATTAATGAACCATCACAGAAACATTCAAACATATTTTATCCTGCATAGCTATTCAAAGTGCAAATGGGGTTGCTTTTTTGCTCTGCACTGGGTTAGGATTAGATCAGCATCCACCAAGAATTCTCCCACATCCAGATCTCTCTCTTAGGGTGTTATTCACTCCTTTTCACTGGCTCTCAAGGCATTTTACTTATTCATCTAGATGACAGATGGACGATGGACGATCCCATCATCATCTGGAACGTTACTCCCCAACAGAAACACATCAAATTATATGAAAGGCAAACTAAGCTGTTGTGGGAAGACCGATCAGATGGAGGCACTTCAAAAAGGGAGATGTGGTTGGGGGTGGGGAGGGAGACAGGAATTAAAATTGCCTTGATGAAGAAACACAGCAAATGGATCAACATCTCTTTAAAGGAATGAAATAACAGAATCCCAGGATTGGAAGGGACCTTGAAGGTCTTGTAATCCAACCCCCTGCCAAGGCAGGAATCCTCAGACCATCCCAAACAAATGTTTATCTAACCTTTCTTTGAAAACCACCAATGATGGAGCACCCCTGACTGCAGGAGGCAGGTTTTTTCACTGCTTAATACTTCTCATGAAACCCCTTATTTTACATTTGGATCTCTCTCTGTACAGTTTCGACCTGCTGGTTCTTGTCCTTCATTCGTGCACCATACACCCTCTTCCCTCTGACAGCCCTTCAAATATTGGATGGCTGCTATCAAGCTTCTGTTCTTTAGACGAAGCATATCCAGTTCTTTTAACTGTTCTTCATTGCCTCCAAGCCCCCTCACCACCTTTGTTGCTCTGCTCTGCACTCTCTCCAGTTCTTCAGCATCCTTCTTGTATTGCATAAATGAAGAATACTTGGTTACATTCTCATCCTTCATGAACAGCCTGATTGCTTATTTTGGCCAGAGGAGGAAACAAATTGTGGATGAGTAGATGGATGTGTAGGTAGGTGCTTGTGTGTATACATGCATAATTCTAGAATTACATGTCTTCTCTGCATGAGGCTGCAAAGTTAAGAAGCTAAGCATGTTCCAGGGGCTAAGAACACTGCCAACATTAACAAATCAGGGAGGATTCTATTCAAAAATCAACCATGGAACTGATATGAAACTCTGCAGGTATCCACAGAATAAGAGAGCAGGCATAAAGAAAGCTTCCCTCCCCCCTCCCTGCAAGACAAGACTCTTGAATAAGGGAAGGCCTCTAGTGCACCCTTGGTAGTATTCAGCCCTGCAGCCCTCAAAGCACAAGACAACACAGCAATAGGACTTTTCTCCAAAGAACTGAGCCTTTGACACAAAGGAGATGCCCTCATACAACCTTAAAGACACCCTCCCTTCTTTTCTCAGCAGGGTGAGCCCTGAAAGCCTTGAATCGCTGTTGAGGAACTGACACACAGTACATCTCACCATGCATCATCATTAGCTCAGCACCAATGTTGGAAATGATTGGCTGGAAAAAGTAATTAACAACAACAAAAGTGGTGCCTTTTGGAGCCCGTGCTGAGTCCTCCTGGCTCCAGCCTTTACTGTCCTGCAGTTCTCCACAGCACGGGCCAGAATCACAATTTGCATATTTCCAGCAAACCACCAAGTGAACAGATTTGTTTTCATTCCCTTTCTCCCCTCCTTTGAAAACTTAGAACATATCTGATGTCATGGTTTGGCCAGGGCCACCCAAACATCTCAGAATGCCCCAGAAAGAGACACAGAGGTAATCTATCTAAAAAGCAAGGAACCATTTTGGAAGAGCTCCCTTGAAGCTCATCAGTTATTCTGAGTAAGTTAACAGGCTCCAAAACTCCTCCAGCAATCTGATGCCGGAGCAGATGTCCATTGGCTGACATGTGATTGCGCCTCCCTTGTGACTGACACAATACTGCTCCCTCACCCTCCCTTGCTTGCATGTTCCTTCATCCCCAGAGTGAAACTCTGGCAAGGCACCATTCCTTCCAAACAAAGAATGTTTTTGCCTGATGCAAAGCAGGAAGAGGGAAACACACACACACACACACACACACAGAGAGAGAGAGAGAGAGAGAGAGAGAGAGAGAGAGAGAGAAGTCTGGATTAAAAGTGAGACAAATCCTGCCACTTGAATTCATGGGATTCTTTATTTCTGTGGAACAACTAGAGTCTCTCCAGGCTCTTTTAGGGGGACTAAAGAAACCTGGGGGAAAACTGCACAGGGAGTGTGAAAAAGAGAAAACACTTCCCCTGTTTGAACTTTTACCTAAAACAAAACAAAACCATGCAAGCCCGCTTAGGCGCACTGGTGCAAGGATTTTACTTTTACCACTGTTTTCTTTCTAAAAATGATTACTTCATCATGCAAGATAGGAGGAAAAGAAATGCCTGTGTACTGTGAGCAGATATGGAGTTCTTCTAAATGAAAAAAAAAAAAGGGAGGGGGTGTTATTTAATTATTTACAAGATTTGTGCGGTCGCCCATTTTAGAGCACAACTCTGGGAGGCTCACCACAATAGGTTTATCTGCGTGCTCAACCACAAGTTCATTTGCATGCTGACAACAGCACGAGAGTTCTTCTTCCTCCAGTATTTTCTTCCAAAGAATGATCCCCTGACCATGAAACAACTCCAGGAAAGGAGAGCAACATTTCTAGTTTCCAACTGATAGCAACACTTGGGTGAGTGCTCAATGTTGAGTTCCCCCCAACTGTCCCCAGAGAACCTACTAAAGTATGGTGCTCAGGCCGCCTTCTGAAGTGTAGGTAGCCAGCTGTTCCTTTGACCTATTTCTAAGGTCCATGCAGCAGGTGCACTTCTTCTACTGAACCTCTTGGGCAGGGAAATGATCCGGATTGCAGGGGCAACTATAAGGATGGAGAAGGGGCAGATGAGGTCTGTAGAGGCCATACAGAAGAGGGAAACATGGGGAAGGGAAGATCTGGGTGCCAGCACATTCAATGAAGGAGGAAATGGGCACCCTCTGCCCTTGAGAACGGAGGAAGAGTTAGCTGAGATGGCAAAATTGACAGCTTTGCTTAGAGAAAAAACACTAATTTTAATGCCAATTGGAAGCCCCTTTTGGACTTTTTGCAGGGCAGAAAAAAAATGGAATTATGATATATGGATTTGATGATTAGCTAAAATAATAGGTTATACAAAATATGTATATTAAGATGTAGTTTTAGAGTAAGAGGTTACTATATGATTTATCTGTACCTGCTGTATAAGAAGTCGGAAGTCATTCTTTCTGTAATTTTTCCTTTCTTCCCTTTCCTTTCCATCACTTTTGTATTCTTTCTTTAACTCTCTTGTTCTCTACTTCTCTCTTTGATCATTAGTTGTCTGCTTTTATGTTTATGCTTTTTATAACTTAATAAAGATCTTATGAGAATGAAGGAAGAGCCATGTTTAAATAATCCTACTTATGTTTTTCTGGGAGTAAATCCCTTGGCATTGCATGGGGCCTTTCTCTAGAAACCTGTACAGGTCAGAATTATCAGCAGAACTGGTTGTTTTCTATTTTAGATAACTCCGCTCCCCCCATCTCAAACAGGAATAACTAATAAGGAGTAAAAAGATCTGGATCACAAAGGAAGGATTTGCATCCTTTCAAAGCAGTCCAGAGTGGCTCTAGAGAAAGCAAAAACAGACAAAACTATTGCTCAGTGTGGTACTACACAGTCGTTATCACAGATGCATCAGCTTACATCACTCTGCTTAGTGACTATATGATGCAGTAGCAAGACATTGGATGGGATCACATAACATACTATAATCTAACAAAACACAATGACAGTGTTCAGACAACGTGTTATGTTCAAACAAATAAGCCACATACCTTAATGTGATAGACTGGTTCATACAACATGCTGAAATAATAGTGTAGTTTCCCAAATGACATTGAACCACAAACCACCTGGTCTTATTTTAGCCTGGTCTAGGATTTTGTGCAAACCCATCCATCCACTGAGAAGTCCAGAAGGTGTATCCTGTAACTAGAAGTATTTACTATCCACGTCATTTGGTCAGGCCTTGTGCTAGCTATGAATGAATAAACTGCAGCAACAATGAGTTTCTCCATGTAACTCCAGAACAGGTATGGGCAAAAATGTTCTTCTAAAGAAGATCACATTGACCCAACACATGGTGGAGAGGCTGACCCAAAGAATGGATGAAGCCAGAGCTCAAAATGGGTTAGGACCCCCATTCCCACCCCACCCCCTTTCTGGCATCGCTCTCTCTCTCTCTCGTCTTCTTCTCCCAAGCAGCAGAACTTATGGAAATGATGGCCTGAACAGATCTCTTACAGACAACTTTTGAAATTAATCTAGGAGCCATTATGCAGCCCAAAAGCCACAATTTCCCCACCTCTGTCTCAAATCAATGCTGACGCTTCTAAAAGAACAAAAACAATATTCATGCTGTGGAGACAGAAACTCTCATAATGATGGTGGTGGAGGATGTGTTGCACCAAAAGGATGTTTACCTAAGAAAACCACCCAGCAGAAGTTCCCACCTACTTGTTAGAACAAGAGTTAAACTCACATGATTAATTAACATGATTAACATGAATTAAACTCACAAATGAGTTCCCCCAGATCTGCATCTCTTTTTAGCATCAAGAATGGTGTCTAGGTGTGACAGGGGTGAGCAACCAAGTCCCCTCCAGATGATTCACACTACAACTGTCATAATCTCTCAGCAGTGGTCATGCTTGCTGGCCCGGGGCAGAGGGCACTCTGTCCAAACTAAGTGGAGAGTGTCAGGTTCCATTCCCAAGAGGTATAGCCCCAAATCTTTACCTTCCTCTGGTTCCAGCTCCCCCAGTGAAGACGCCAACACACCCATCTCCTGACATTTTTTGCTGTGGGCTTTTGACTTCATATGTTTAGTCAGATTCCCTGAAAATGAAACAGAACATGCACAAATTGTCAGTTGTTGTTTGCTAGCTACACGCAGCAACCAGTAACATTATCGGCAAGCTATGTTTTACATTCCTGGCCAGAAACAAAAAGCTACTGCTCTTGAACAATTCCTTTGACATCAAGCAGCTGCCCTCAGTGGCTAATTTGTTGTCTGCTTCTCTAGATGACTACAGAATTGCTTTTCATAACTGCTAGCTCTCATGCAGTGCAGACAAAGCCAGCAGGCACATGCTTTGCAAAAATAGGAAAAACCCTCTTCAGAACTCTTCCCTGCAACATGCAAAAGAGCCAGAGGTTCTGCACACTCATCTTTCTCTCTAAAGTTGCCCAAGTGCCTAAAGCAGGGATGGCCATATCATGGGTGCCAGGCGCCAGCAATTCTTGAGATGACAGTGATGGAATTCCCCAAATCAAATATCCAAACGCTCACAGATTTTTTATATAGAATGGTTACTTTGGGCCGCCTTTGTCTGAAAAATAAACTGACCTAGGACATTAACATGATCATAAATCCCTCTCCAGAAACAAGCAAAGAAGTTGATGTCAAATTAAAGGCAATGGAAGGAGATCTGAGAGTAGAGATAAAATGAAGAAGGAAACGAAAAGTCTCTTAGGGTATGACTGAACACTCATTTTTAATTTAGGGTAAACTTTACTATGGTTATTTCACCCCTTGGTTTGTCCCTACAATTTTTTTTTTTTGGTCTAAAAGCACACACTTTGCATTCTGAAGTCTGTTTTTCAGCATCTGAGCTACTGTGCTCAAAACCTCACCTAATTTTGATATCCTCCCAGCTTCTAGAAATCCCTAATCATTTCATCTAAATCAATAGCCTATTTTTAAAAAAGAGTGATGTGTGCAAGGTTTGCTCATTTCACATTAAATCATGATCTGAACATACTGGTAAGCAAATATGAAACAGAAAGAGATGAAGAAGTTTTATCTAGAATCAGCCTAACCTCTTGCATTGGAAAACAAGGCAGAATTTGCTACCGATAAAAGGACTGCTTCAAATTAAATATAGGCTGTGCTTTGGGAATAATGTCTACATGTCCAATAATAAATCAAAACAGGTAACTGCTCAGCTTCCAGGTGCTCAAATAATGTGACTTTAGGGACATGGTGCTGGGAATGTTGCAATAAAGCAACAGAACAACACGATGAGGGGTTGAGGTAATGCATCACTGGGAACCCAGGTAAGAGCCTCATGGCTGTATGTGTTAGCTTCATTAGAAATCTTCAGTCTAAGTCTTTGAATTAAATTGCAGTTGTTGCTTAACCCAACCATAGGACTTAGCACAAATCTCATAGAATCAAAGCATAAACAGATGACATGCTGGACTCTTGGAAATTGCAACCATGACTGTTTACCAATCCTACAACCTTAGATGATCTTTTTGCAGTTCAGAATGTGAGGGAGGGAGAAATTCTGAAACGCCCAAGCCTGAGAAACATTTGGGAATGTAATACTCTCCACAAGCTTCATTATGAATCCTAGGAACGTGTATCCAATAGCAGACAGAGGTAGCAAACTTTGTCAGGCCCTAAGTAACCAATTTTCCCATTGAAATCACCAGAAGTAAATGAAATAAATGCCTATTCTCTCTTAAGCAGCGAAACAGAAAGGATACCATTTAACAGGGAAGACAGATGACAGGGCTATGAAAGAAGTGAAAATGAGTTATAGGAGGAGTAAGTGTATTGCAAAACATTTCCTTTTCTTTACTAGTCTTTCACACACATATACACAGTTTTCTCCCCAAGGGACAGAGTAGTCCAAAAATACGAAGGCATTATTAAAGAGTTTTCTTGGTGAAACTTTTTGAAGATTTGGCTTGTTCCTGAGTAGGTCTTCATACCTGAGTTCTCTTAATGCAAGAGTCTTCCCAACTCTTGGCCATGCAAGTCTAGCTGTATAAACTGTAACAGGGTGAGCAACTGAGGTCCCAGGAAGACATGCTCCCCACTAAAATCTTGGGGTTCACTGCCCACAGCAATTTGCCACCAACAACTGAAGGGGGGGGATTATTAAAAGTTGATGAAATAATCCCATCAACTGAATTAAATTAATGTAATTGGACTGACATTGAAATGTCAATTAAATGAAATCACATTTAGCTTTTTGCTTTTTTTTTTTTAACCTGATCCCACCCACTTCTTTGTCCTGATTCAATCTACATTTGGGAAGTATAGTTCACATCATGTTACTCAAAGGGCTAGGTAGCCCTTATCTTGAAAAATGTTATATAGCCTTGAACTATAAGATTACAGAGATAAAAAGACATGAGCCCAGTTGTTTCTTCTATGTGCTACTTTACCTAGAGAAAGAAACTACTTTTCAGTAGAGGGCTTGTAAAAACCCATTGTCAGAATTACTGAATCTAGAAAGGATCTAAGTTTCTGTATTAGAATACCTACTGGATTTTCTGTTTCCAAAACTGGGGTAATGCTGGTTAACCATTTTTAGTTTCTTCAACCCAACAGCGTTTGAGAGAGTTTGCACCTTATTTCATGACCTCAAATCAACATACAAACAGATTACCTTAATATGGATGTTGGATTTATCCAGATTAGTTCAGACTGTTCAGCACATGGACATGTCATGGTAAAGAGTCTAGGGCTCCAAATGATGAATCAGTCTGGACAGTAGTTCCAGCTTTTGCTTATGGATCAACTTAATGGTATCAGACAAAACTTCCTTTTTGCATTCCTCTCCCTATTTTTAATATGGAAGTGGTAATGAACAACACTTTTGCTATTATTACAATATCTAATCAAGAAGTCCCATAAAATAGCTGGCATATTACACCTACTAAAGAGGAATGGATTCTTAATAATAAAAAATCAACATGGTACATTAAAGTTTATTCATTACAGCTTGGAAATTGAACTTAGTGCAACCATTCAGAACACGGCCACCAGAACAGGACATTACAAAGTCATGCACTGTACTGTCCCCTGTTCAGAGCACCATCCTTCCTTGATCTGCAGGCATTGCTTCTACTTAAGCTTCTTTGGACTGAATCAATCAGGGATCACATATGTAATATATAATTATAATTTAATCCGCTGGCAATCAGCAGTGGCTATGGGACAATATTTTCTACTGAGTGAAGTGACAGAATTCATTTCCTGAATATCCTCCCAGGAGGCAGAAACAGAATTGACTATTTTGAGGGAGGAGGAACTGAAAAAGGAAATGCTAAAAAATATATTAGAAGATTCTCTCCTAAGACACTGTGGCTCTGTTAGTACTGAAGAACATGTTCTTCTAGGTTCATGCTGGAAGTGAAAAACAGATAAGAAGAAGAAGACTGGACACATCACTAGGTGCACAGCCTCGTCTCACTGGTTAAGTTTAATTTACGCAACACACAAATTAAAGTGAGGGGGAAGAGCCACACGCAACAACAAAACACTCAAGGTATGCCACACAGAGACATCACTGGCAGTGTCTCAACAAGCAGTTACCTACTAAAGCTCTCTTGTCGGAAGGTTTTTTTGGTTTTATGAGACTTAGACAGCTAAACTTCTTTTTGTATTTGTAAACCTCAGTGAAGGCTGAAGAAGAGGTGCATTTCTTGAAGAACCTTGAAAAGGTAACCTGATAGGCAGCATTGCAAAGTCTGAGAAGGAACGTGGAAGGCAAAAATAACCCAAATGGATGCAAACATATTATTGGCAGCTCTTCTGGGTTAATGATAAGGAGAAGCCAAGCTTATTCCACTGGGTGCTGGCAAGAAAGCCTCTCTCTTGCTCCTGCCCTGTACCCTTTCTCACCAAGGACAGCATGTTGCATTAACTGCTTCCCTACAATGGGCACAAAAAGGAATATCAACAGGTATTTTGCTACAAGATACTGAACAATTCTGTACAGTAAAGCTTAGCTTAGTGATTTTTAAAATCACTCTTCTGCCGAACACAACTCATGCAAGAGACAAAGAATTGGGGTTTGCCTGAAAATTTCAATATTAGTTTTCAATGAATTGCTACACCTCAGTCCCTAGAGCAGATACCCTCCATATATAATATATAATAATGGGGAACACTGAAACAGTTATTAAATAATGGATTGTCTTATCCCCAATGTGAGCTAATCATTGGTACAAGTTTTCTTGTTCTTAGAGCCCAAGTTTGCTTTCCCCTACATCTCTTTCCTTTCTGTGTTCCATCTTTCAGATTGCAATCCTCTTTGAAGTATTTTCAGCTACGTCATGGGGTACTAATACTACAAATAAAGGGTTTGTTATTCAGGCAACAAATTCAAGGAGAGAAGTGAGAGGATGGAATCATACCAACTGAGCCCAGCCCCTCTGCTCATACATGAATAGATATTGGAGGAAAGGCCAGGATACCACACTTCCATCTCCTTCAGTTACTCACTAAATGATAAATCAATCCAGATTGGGCTTTTCAGTTCCCAGTTTAACAACATCTATTCTTTTTGGGTATCGCAAGAAATTTGCGGCACACTAAGCACTGCAAAATTGATGGAAAGATCACTAAAAGCAGATCAAACAAAAGAATAATGGAATACTTTACTATATATTTATACATCTCTGTGTATCTGCATATTTCTATCTCTATACTTGCTTTTTTCATGTTTTTAATAGGCACACTTAGGATCAAGCTGAGGTTAAATTATTTATTTTATTAATCAAATTTGTGTGTATAGATATACAGTCAGGTCCAGAAATATTGGGACATCGACACAATTCTAACATCTTTGGCTCTATACACCACCACAATGCATTTGGAATGAAACAAACACAATGTGCCTTGACTGCAGACTGTCAGGATTAATTTGAGGGTATGTACATCCAACTCAGGTGAACGGTGTAGGAATTACAACAGTTTGCATATGTGCCTCCCACTTGTTAAGGGACGAAAAGTAATGGGACAATTGGCTTCTCAGCTGTTCCATGGCCAGGTGTGTGATATTCCCTCAGTACCCCAATTACAATGTGCAGATAAAAGGCCCAGAGTTCATTTCAAGTGTGCTATTTGCATTTGGAATCTGTTGCTGTCAACAATCAAGATGAGATCCAAACAGCTGTCACTATAATGTGCAGATAAAAGGCCCAGAGTTCATTTCAAGTGTGCTATTTGCATTTGGAATCTGTTGCTGTCAACAATCAAGATGAGATCCAAACAGCTGTCACTATCAGTGAAGCAAGCCATCATTAGGCTAAAGAAACAAAACAAACACGTCAGAGAGATAGCAAGAACATTAGGCGTGGCCAAAACAACTGTTTGGAACATTCTCAAAAAGAAGGAACGCACCGGTGAGCTCAGGACCACACCGGTGAGCTCAGCAACACCAAAAGACCCGGGAGACAATGGAAAACAACTGGGGTGGATGACCGAAGAATCCTTTCCCTGGTGAAGAAAACACCCTTCACAACAGTTGGCCAGATCAAGAACACTCTCCAGGAGGTAGGTGTATGTGTGTCAAAGTCAACAATCAAAAGAAGACTTCACCAGAGTGAATACAGAGGGTTCACCACAAGATGTAAACCATTGGTGAGCCTCCTGTCCCATTACTTTTGGTCCCTTAACAAGTGGGAGGCACATATGCAAACTGTTGTAATTCCTACACCGTTCACCTGAGTTGGATGTACATACCCTCAAATTAAAGCTGACAGTCTGCAGTTAACGCACATTGTGTTTGTTTCATTCCAAATCCATTGTGGTGGTGTATAGAGCCAAAGACTGTCCCATTACTTTTGGTCCCTTAACAAGTGGGAGGCACATATGCAAACTGTTGTAATTCCTACACCGTTCACCTGAGTTGGATGTACATACCCTCAAATTAAAGCTGACAGTCTGCAGTTAACGCACATTGTGTTTGTTTCATTCCAAATCCATTGTGGTGGTGTATAGAGCCAAAGAGCGCTTCACAGTACAGATGGACAATGACCCAAAGCATACTGCGATGTTAGAATTGTGTCGATGTCCCAATATTTCTGGACCTGACTGTATTATAGAGTGTGCGTATATATATAATATATAATTAAACAAATTTGAGTAATAAATACATTGTAATAATTAATTTTCCTTTGCAACAAGCTATTGAAGCAGAAAGAAAAGGGAGAAGGTAAAAAGGGGGAAAGGGTTTGTTCACTGTATGTGAATAACACAATCCAGCCAAAATTAAGAATTTTCAACTCCCATTTCTTTCCGTACTGGAGAATGAAGTGTGTCCTTGCTCAGCACTGAAATTGGATTTTATGTAGCTTAGATGTGCCCAAATAACTCTGTGGCTCAGAAAACCTTTTACTGGATCTTAAAACACACTAATAGTAGAGCTAATCTTTCCAAACCTTTTAAGTGAATATCTGAAGTTGCTCAAATTCACTTGAAGGCTGCATCCCACTTACACTTTGTACACAAATACATTGAAAAGTACGCCAGATTTGTTTGTGCAACAGAACTTGGTTTCTTTCTAGGAAGCAAGCAAACAAGCAAACTTAGGAAGGAATAGCTCAGGAGGGAAGAACTCTTCCCACCAAACTGACTTCTCCAGAAGCTGTGTTTTTCAAAAGGAATTAATGGTGTTCTACCTTACATGTCTTTATATCAGCGTAATGTACAGTAATTCAGTGGCTCATATTGTTTACACTATTGTATTTGACCAGCATCTGAGTTTTCTGGAGGACTCAAATCTGACTGCAAATCATTTCCTGATTACCCAACTATCCCATTTCCTAGAAGTATCTGAGACTTGATGTGGCATCAGCTGAATCTGCCAAGTCCCATAAGGCTCTGTTTAGGTACGCTACCTTCACCTGAAAACTTTTGATAATGCCACTGATATTAGGAACATTTTGCTAGTTCGAGCTTCAAGAAAAAAATGCTGAAAAACTGTCAGTAATTTATTCTCCAAGTATTTCATTTTTCCAAAGTTATGTCATAATGATGTTTACAAACTGGCAAAACTGGAACCAGAATAGAAAAAATGTTCTATGTCTGCCTTGGTAGACTTTCGTAATGTTCTCATTCTTTTATATGCCAAGATTAGGACCTACTCTTTCAGTATGCAAGCATTATTATGTTCCTTGGCACCGAGACTCAACCCCAAAAAGGGGATAGAGTTGCAAATCTCCATTTCAGCAAGAGAAATCAGAGCTTCCTTCTATGCCCTCCTTGTATGAGAATGCAGTCCTCCCCTCCACCTCAGATTCTGAGAATGATAACCCTAGTGCTTCTACTATTCCTCAGCTACACAAGCAGCATGAAACTGCAGTAATTGCCTTGAATCGTTTAAAGATTGCAGCCATCATCCAGCAAGGATTAAATAAATGACTAGGTTCTATCTGCTTTCTTAGATGCTGTATCCTCTGCTGAGACAACAGTTTTTCTTATGAGTTGTCCAAGGTCCTGAAAATGGTATGTGTTGTGGTGACCTTTACTGTACATGTTCTGCTTTACCTGCATACTTGTGCTCTGTGCTGTCTACCCTCTGGACAAATCATGATAGATATTCAGGAACTTATACAATTGCTTCAAAGAAGAGCTTGCAAAAATTTTAAGAGCTGCTGAATTTTTTCTGTCTCACATTAAAACCAGAAAGAAAAATTACTGACTTTCTGCACACCCCATCTATCTCACCCCACATTTGACACACAAGTAGTGTTGGTGTAAATGTACAAGAAGGAAAGGAATAAGAAGGGAATGAGAAGATATATTTTATTGTTCCTGTATGCTGTCTATATTCTTGCCAAGAGCTGGAAGATGTTCAAAAGGAACAAATGCTGGGAATTAAGGGGACTGTGAGCAAGCTATTTGAGCATCAAAGGTAGGCAGGGAGAGATGAAGAAGCAAATTCCAAACTTCTCATTACTTTGGAAAAGAAGCTCAATTCTTTCTTTTTTTTTTTCTTCAGGGAAAAAACTTCTAAGCCAAAGTAAATGAAGGCACATTCTCCCAAGCCTCTCCTTCATTAAACTGAACGACAAATTCTATGTACATCTCAGAATTCAGATGATGGTCAATGAACATTAGACTAGAACACGTGCATTTTCTCACAAAAGGTCAACCCCATCTTTCAGTTACACCAAGATGCCAAAGAAGAGTTCAAAATACCTTTTCTATACCCATTCATGTGGATGCCGACAACAATAGAACTTTTCAATACGGCTGGTATGCGGTCCATCCGGGCAAACATTGTATGCTGACTGAGTGTCCCTCTCCAAGGTCTTGGGAAGAGGCTACTATCAATTTTGCAACCTGAAACCTTTCATACTAAAGCACTAAGTGAATTCAAACACAGAGCTAACACTACATGTTGAAGACCCACCAGTGAGTTTTGGTTCCCTTGGAACTAGAAATGAGAATAACCCAAGAGAGGCATTCTGAACATCTGAATTTCCATCTCAAATGTAGGCAGATTTCACTTAAACAAAGATATGCATATTTCTATTGCATTTTCTGGTATTCTAGGCAGAGGTTTCTAGACCCTGGTCAAGGTTAGAACATACTAGTTGGCCCACAGAGGCCTTTGGCAAAGCGCAGACTAACTGGCCATGCAGCACTGGTGATTTCTGTGAATATCACCACTATTACCTGCAGAAAAATCCATACCAATTTAAGTTAAGGTGCCACCTCTCCAAATCTGGCTACATGCTACCTTCTGCAAATTTTTCAACAACACAACAATGGCTGGTAGCTAAGTTCCCTGAAACTGATTTGAAGTAATTAATTAATGGGCAGCAGAGGGGAACCTCATGAGCTGTTCCCACTCAAAAGATGGGAATAGTGTGCTCTCAAGCATAGTGTGGCTTGCACAAAAATACTCTTGAGTTACCCACACTACTATGTGCTTAAAAGTAATTGTATATTTTCCTTTACACCATCCCTTCTCCCATCACATTCACCAACAAAAAAATCTGTAGCTTCGTCAGATTTCATATTCTCTTGGTTTATGAATCTTCTGGCTGCAGTTCAGTCATGCTTTCAGACTTATCCTTATTACAGGAATTAAAACAACCCCTTACCTATCAGTAAACAAAAAGTGAGAAGTAATAAAACCAAAAGATCCAGAAACTTAAAGAGATGTGGGGCAGGGAATAAGCATTTTCAAGAACTGACATACCCACAGACTTTGGATTGGAAGCATAGTCCTTTGGGGGAATATGTTTCTTTGATGTGTGACTTTGCCAATTTTTACCCTTGAGTAGGTCAAGGATAAAAATGAATAGCGTATTTACTTTCAGAGCATTAGCACATAAGGCTGGAGATGCCCTTGAAAGCCTATAGGATCTCTTTGAACAATGCCTTTGGATTGCCTTTGCCCTGTAACAAAGTACTATTCGGTTGGCTGTTCAATTAATGAATATATGATATAGGAGTTCATTGTTCAAAGCTGCTTTCAGGGAAGGAGCAAGCCTAATTTGTGTCAAAATGGCCTCCTCTAGCTTGGCAAACACTGGTTCTGATCTCACTGGCCTCAAACCTTATACTCAAGGCATACTCCATTCAAAGGCTGCCCTGTGGCCTGATTACTCAGCAAATGACAGCTTTGCCTTGGCATGCTTCAGCCAATTTCAGCCAGTTCAAGTTTCTGTGTCCTGTGCAACTGGATTTTAAGCATCTGTCCGCTACTGCCCCCAAGGGAACGTCAACCAGCAAGCCAATGCACTAGGAATATGAGCTCCGAGCTGACAGGTGCTTACCTTTGGTTTTAAAAGCAAAGTTACAGTACTTGCAGACATAGGGCCTGACGTCTGTGTGCGTGCGAATGTGTTTCTTCAGCATGCTGGGTTTCTTGCAGCGAATTCCACACTCCTCACATACATACTTCCCTCGTCCACGGCCTCGCACATACACATACTCTTCGTTTGATTTGTACCTATGAGCAACAGGGTGTCATGGTAACAGAAATAAAAGATTCCCACCTTAACATAGCAAGTCTCCTTGAAAAGCAAAAATAATAATAGAACCAACACACAATCCCATTGCATTATTCATGGCTGCAGGTTAAAAATTCACGGAATGAGCATCAAGGAACGATGTGTGTGCACATGGAGTCCTCCAGAACTGCAGGTGTAGACCTTTGCACCTCTGTATCCTTTCATGGAGAATGTCAATCTCTGAGTACAGTTCCTTCTTTTTCCAATTTGTGATAGCCAATGTTAGATCGGGGGGGGGGAGTTCAGGTCCCCCCCCCCCATGCAGCTCATGTTAGGAAGATTAAATTAGCAAGAACAGAACCATGAGTGACATCCTGACTCCTTTGAGGAACCAAACAATTAAACACATTTAATAAATGTGGGGCTTCGCTTTCCTGATACAGTGCACAGGGAGCTCCATGCTAGGAAGGAATTTCCATGCCCACCATATCAAGCTCAGATCTGTAGCCTTATTTTATTAACAAGCACCTCCTTACCAAACAAGTGAACTCCTGACATTTCTAATCATCTTCAGCCACATGTCATATTAATGCCTTCTACTGAAATCTACACATTACAGAAAAGATTGTGAACTGAAACCTGTGGCCAGAAATTCATGTGGAACATGTCAGGGAAAGATATCCCCCACTCTTAAACACTGTTAGCTTTGGGCTTAGCCTAGTAACTTGAGCTTCTCTTTCCCACTAGAGTAAGGAACAAGTCGTCATTCACGTAGCTGGGAAGAAAAAACTATGGTGATATTCATAATTCACACCTATTATTTGGAAAAAGTACACAAGCAATTGCTTCCTCCAATTTTTCCTACATTCAAAGCACAGAAATGTGTGTCTCTGCCTTAAAGAACTTCAAAGATTGCCAATGTATGTTACTGGGAGGAGGGAGAGGGGAAGTCTTGAATTTGCAAGGAATATAGCTTGGGAGTCTGTGTCTAAAACATTTAAAAGGGAAAATGTCCCCCCAAAGTAACTCAGGGGGGGGGCTAAAAAGGGGAAGTGAAAAAGCTCAACTGAAACTGAACAATTAGATGGAATATATTGGCTAGTAACACCAAGCAACCTCCAAAAAGGAGAAAGTAAGAGAAAATACCAGTTTTAATTTAATAATGATTCGTTTACCAAAGACAAGGAAATAAATGAGCAGGAAATGCCAAGGGTATATATCAAATATGTTGGAAAAATATTAGTAAAAGGATAACGTCAATTTTAACACTAACAGGTTATAAGGAAGTTCAAGAATCAATGTGCCTAAATACAGTACATCTACTAAGTAATTCATTGAACAAGAACATTTGTATAATATGTACCTGGGCAAGGAGGGAAGGAGAGCAGGAAATGACAAGAATCCTAGAATCCTATTTATTCATTTTTCATGATGATTCTGGAAAAGGTAACCTCTTTGAAAGAAAGCAAAAAGAAGAAATGGAAGGGTCCTACACCTCATGCCATCTACCCAAGAACAAAATTGCAGTAGAATCTTTCAATCATCAGCTTTTCCTGCCTGCTGAGATTTTGGAGCAGACTGAGATCCAAGTTAAAACCTAATTAACACATCTGTTTTGTGTCTTAAACTGTAAAAAGAGAGAAAATATTTTACCAATACACCATTATGCATTTGAATTTTGGTAATACAATCTTGGGGGCTCTGTCTGTCTCAAAAATGGAGAAGGGACAGCATGCATAGATGGCCAAATACAGCAGCCCACAGAGCCTCTAAGAGCTTCTCCAGTAAGACTAGTTCAACACTTGGACTACATGATCTTCAAGATCCTTTTCAATTCTTCTACTCTATCATTCTGAGACAAAATAAAAACAGCAGTAGCAACAATTATAAAACAGTAGGAGGTATAAAAACCAAACCATTATCCTCAAGGAACTGAATAGGACTTCTTAGCTTGTCCCTGGCTATACAATCTTGAGCTGAAATGCAACTGGAGGCCACTACCTTGATCACTCCATCCCTGAAGAATTACTGCAGTATAAGGCCACAGGAGGGCAAACAGCGCTGTTCTCTCTTGAAAATACACAATCATCCTTTTTCTTCACTGTTAAAATTGCTGTTCATGCTGTGCTCTCTGCTTAGTTTTGTTGTCATTCCCAAAGTTTGGAACTCTCCTTTTCTGAGTCTGTTCCACCCACTCTCTTTCATTAATCTCCTAGAATCACATTTGGGTAGATAGATGGACGGATGGCTGGATGGATGGAAACAACTATGCCCGATCCATCAGATCTATTTGCAGGGCTGTCCTGTTCTGCTTTGCACTTCAGTGCATATTAAATTGTTTTTGAATGCATTATTTCATAAAACTTACATCTGTTATGCAACAGACCTTTCCCCACACATTTTACCCACAACTACATGTTTTTATGCTAGTTTGACCCAAACATGATTTTGAACCTTTGAAAAAAAATGCAAAACTGTTCCACACTATTTGGAGAAATGCCCCATCTGATGGATAACTATACAGTAATACCTCGGTTCACGAATGCTTCTGTTCACAAACAGCACCATTCGCAGAATTTTGCTTCCGTTCGTGAACTCCGCATCGGGTGACGAACACAACCCGTGGCCATTTTCCCTGCTGTGACACGTGGCCGTGGCTTCCTGTAGGGAGGGGGACTCTCCCTAAAAACAATAACCGCCTCCCCACCCGCCTTCCTGTCCTCCACGCCAGAAGTTGCCTCGAGCAAGGTTAGTGTTCTCTCTCTTCGTACTGTACTGTGTTTCATATTTTTGTGGTTTAAAAA